GAGATCCATGCTACCTGCACTCCCAAGTAATCCAGATGATTAACTGCATCAGGAGCATTATTAACGATCACATTGTTCTGTATAAAGAGGAAAAATTTGCAATTCAAATGAAGAGATCTAGAAGAAGAAAAAACGAACCGAGTTTTGGGAATCTTTCTCTCATCAACTCTTCAAAAACTAGTTGATCAACCTAAGAGAAAAAGTGGTTACAATAAATCTTCCACAAAAGGTTGTTAAAAGTGAAAAAATCAAAGTCAATTTTCCATGAACTAGCACCTGAGATTCTATCATCTCCTCTGTATAGTAGCCATAAAAATACTCATCAATGACTCCAACCAAAGTCCTGAAAAATTTTCAGTAACACATAAGTCAGCTCATTTTAACATACATTCCAAGTTTGTATCAACCTACCAAAATGCATTTTCCTCTGGCATCAACAGAAGCAATAGGCCAGCAAAGAAGTTCATAGCCTGCACAAATCCAGGGTCATTTTTGGCTTAGACAGATGCTTCACAGTAAAAAAATGTTTTCAGATATGTACAGAGTTAAAACATATATACTAGAAGAAAAAAGAAAACAATGTTCATTTGGAGACTAAGTCACCTGGCAGTAACCAACAGATGGGTTGTGACAAGCATAAGCTAGAAGTATCCGTCTTAAGGAATCTCTACCATTCTCATTCAAAGCAGGGTGACCTGGGAACGTCCTTGGTATATCCTTAATAATCCAAAAAACCAAAAAAATAAGCAAGAAGAGTGATCATGATGGCACTTTTCAGAACCAAGAAACAAGCAAAACCTTTTCAATTTGTTTCTTCCACTTTCTTTGAACATCATGTTCCTTGCTTTCATCAAAGTTAGTTATGTGGTCCAACAAATCATGATAGTAATTATCCACTTTTCTTGCCTTCACACCTACAAAGGCTTGCCAAACCTGTAAGTAGCAAAAGTTAGGCAACAAAAGGGAAACTTATTGCAAATGATTATGGTAAAATGAATGAGATAGTATTACCTCTCCTCTGAGATCCCTTGGTACTCCTAAACGAACAAGTACCTCAAGTTCTTCATACCAAGGGAAGAATGGCTTTGGAGAAACACTATTTTGAGCAACATCATTGTCATGGTCACTTTCTCCGGACTTTTGTTCAGATTCTACAATGGAAGACAGTGATTTGTTTATCCGTGAACTTCTCTGACTGTTATTCATATCATTTACGTTTTTAACACGAGTGCACATCATATCTTCTATGGAGGAAAGACAAGGTCTGATGTCAGCCCATTCTATGACTGAACGGGGCTTCTTCTCTTGTTGTCCTTTTTCATGTTCCACTTCACATTTATCTGCTTCTGCCAAGGGCTTTTCTGGTTCATTTTCTTGTTGAATGTCTACTTGATCTTCGGTTGGTTTCACTGATTGAGATTGTTTCTCTTCATCAGATTGGCTTTCGTCTGAATGCTCCTTCTCCTTGTCCTTTTCAGATTCAGATTGGTCCTTAACATCATCATCCACAGCTTTGCTGTCTTTTTCAAGACTCTTCACTCTCAAGTATTGGCTCTCTTCAAGAACCTGCGCCTCCTTGTCTGAGTCACTCTCCTTTGAAAGCTCATCAACTGTTTCAGGATCCTTCACTTCTTTACCACCAGGTTCAGATTCTTGTTTCCCGTTTCTTGAACTCTCCCCTGAAGCAGTACTCTCATCTTCAGATTCAAGTTGCTCCTTATCATCCTTCACAGGTTTGCTGTCTTTTTCGAAAACCTCTGCCCCCTTGTCTGGTTGACTCTCTTTTGAAAGCTCATCAACTGTTTCTGAGCTACATTGTTCAAAGTCCTGCACCGCTTCACCACCAAGTTCAGATTCATCATGTTTCTTCTTTCTTGAACCTTCCCCAGAAGCAGCACTCTCCTCTCCAGATTCTGAACCATCATCAGCAGGCAATGTATCCTGGAACTCTTCTTCAGAGGAACAAGATTCAGGGGAATCTTCAAGCCGGTCAAGAAAGTTTTTCCATTTCTCTCCCCTCTCTGTCTCTTCCTCCTAATCCAGTTAAGTAGTATTATTTCATTTAGCTGAGTTCATATATACAAATAGCTTAGTAGTGCAAGCAATCTACAACCATTCACTAGCTTCCTAAATCATTTAACAATAATCTCAATACCATAATTGATTTCTAAAAGCATCTCACTACATTTCTTGCTCTCTCTGACACTAATGATGCAGCAACAAAAACATGAGATGCATAACTAAGTAATGATACAACAGAGATTTTTATTAGGAGACAGCAAATGAAACATGAGAAGAGAACAGACTCACCGTATAGATGCTAAGGTATTCGTGATATCTTTGAACGTGTTGAGGTCTCAAGGCAAATCCATAGGCGTCCCTGCAAATAAATGAGTTCATCTTCATTTCTTTGTAATATATTTTAACCAAAAAATTATGAAATTGATCAAGAAACAACAAAAAGTACCTGGAATCTACCTCCAGTGAGCGCTTGCTCACCAAAGATAACAACATATTTCACAAATAAATCTATTTCTAATTCCCATAGCTTTTTTTAATTTAACATTACACCAATCTCACAAACTTCAAACAATTTTTAATTAATCTATACAAAGCTTAATCATGCACCAAAATTAACAACAACAACAAAAAAACATTAACACGACAATGAGATCAAAAGAAGAAAATTAAAGTTTGATCATTAGTTTGGTGCTTTGCGAAAAAAATTGAGAACCCCCAACCCTCTCAAATGGCAGATCAAGAAATGGTCAATGTTTGATTATCGATTAATCAGGAGATAATTAAAATATTGATTTTAAACAAAAACAAAACAAAACAAAAATGTTGAGTCACCTGTCTTTGAGATAGTTGTGGACAACAATCAAGTGTTTCTCCGCCATGATCGGGTCATATGCACGATCACAATTGTTTATTTTTATTATTTTATTCTCTATCAAAACTTTTAAAAAATAATATATCAGATGATCTTCTCATTTTCAAATTCAGAAATGAAGATTAAATGTTTATGGAAAGAAATCTCCGTAATTTATTAAGAGAATTTGCAGTCTATATACACAGATAACATCATAATTTGCAACTATGGATCTTTCACTATTAGCTTTTTATAATGGCAATGTTACCCCTATGAGAACCAAACGTATAGACCATTTATTTTTTTCATATTATTTTATTTTTATTTTCTTTGTTCTCTCTCCTCCGCTTCACTTTTATTTCTTCCTTGATTTGCCTAAGCTTTCTCTCCCTGTCTCCCACTCCTCCTTCACCTTATTCCATAAATGTGTTTCATGATTTTACATAGTGCTGTTTCTTAAAAGTACAAAGAGAATTAGAGAGAAATTCATGATTATTGGATAAGCTTCTCTTTTGGTATTCAATAAATAATCTTATTTTTTCCTCCTCCTCCTGTGTGTTTTTTCTTAAAAAAAATTTCTTGTCACTTATGTGTTTTTGTTGGATAAAACGAAGAAATCTGAGAGATGAATTCATACCAGTACTTTCAGAGGAATAGCTCTTTTTTTTGTAATAACATTATTTTTGCTGGAGCTGGCGTTACCGTCGAGGAAGTCCATTCAGCTTCCGTTGTTTCAGATCCTTTGTTTGTGTTTCTTCTTGTTATAGTGACTCATGTTTTGTTGCCCACTCATAAGTCTTGTCGCATTACATATATTACATTGGTTCCTCATTTTTTAAAAGTTTTCTCTTTAAAGTTTCATCCTTTCCAATGATCTCTAAGTCATATGACTAATTATTTTTTTTTCAATTTCTCAGACCTGAAGAACAAGAAAGAATCGTACAAGGTAGACTGGATCGCTGATGATATGGGACACCAAATCACCAAGGATTGCAATACTATCAAGTACTACTACGTCCTGTCTTCAGAATACACACCACTGCTTATTTGCTTTATTCCTCTTTTCATATTTATTTTCAATTGTTTTAGCCTGGCTACCTTATCATGAGCTTACTTATTTTTGGGAATTACTTGATAGTGCGTGAAGTTTTTGTTTTCTTGCAGAATCGTGAACCATATATTATTGATGGGGCTGGTACTGAACCTGACCGTGTGTTTAGAACAACAGTTCGTGGTTGGATTATAATGGAAAATGTATGCAAAAAGTATGGAATCTCCAAGAAATCCATTTATGTGTTCGAGTTTAATGTAAAACTAGATCTCGACCCGCACAACCGTGCGGGTATTTTAATACAAAAGTATTTGAAAATATATAATACTCTTTCCGTTTCAAATTAGATGATGTTTTAGAAGATTTATTTTGTTTCAAAATATAAGATGTTTTAAAATTTTAAAGTATAGTTTAAGGTTAATTTTAACTTTATTGGAAAATGTTCAACCAATAAAATTTTACTTTTTGTAATAATTGGTTGAATGATTTTAAAATTATATATGTAAAAATACTGTTGTAAAAAAATGTAAATTCCTTAATCTTTGCATGATCCAACACATCATATATTAAGAAACGGAGGGAGTAAAATTTATCAATAAATAAATATAATTTGATTATGTATACTATCTAATTTTATAATAATATTTATGTGGTTTATAATATTATTAATATAAAATTTATAAATTTGTATTTTTATAAAAAAAAATTAAAATATTATTATGTACCTTACTAATTTATATATATTTGTTTGAACTACATAATACATAAAACAAATTTTGGGATATTGTTAAAAGTATTTTACATAATTTTAATTTTTTGTTTATAAATTAAAATGAATTAAAATTTTAATTATATTTCATGATAATTAAAATTTTAATTAAATAATTTTTGAAACTATATCTTGAAAAGATTCTAAAAGATCTTTTAAAAGATTTTGTTATAATTTTCTTAAAACCATTTATTTGTATCTAAAATAAAAACTATATGAAAAGATATTATAATGATGTTATGTAAAATTTTATGAAATTTCTAAGGATGGTCCAAACTAAAAAATCACACATGAAGTGAGTCATGACTTCTCTTTTAATATAATAGATTTGGTGTGTTTAGAGATTAATGATGAAATTTTGTAAAATAACAAGTCTCTGAAGTGATGTAATTATTTGAAATAACCGGTTAATAGATTTTAATTATTTTGTGCTATAATGATAACCGGCTAGTCTCCGAAAAATACAACTAACAACAATAATATCCGGATAACTAATATACACTATTTAGCTTAGTGGATATGATACTAATTTTCAGGTATAAATTTATAATAACAACCGACTATTGACTGAGAAATCCAACTACCAATAACAATGACCGGATAATTATTTATGTTAATCGATCACTAATTTAAATAACCAACAACCATTCAAAATAACTGGATAACTTGTTTGTTAGCCGAACAAATCGGAGTATAACCATTTGATTTACATCCAACAATCTATACTTCATACATTTTTATATAAATCGGTTAGTCACAAATAACTATAATTATTATCCATTAATAAATAACATAACCATCAATAATCCAAGAGCCGGTAATTTTAAATCAAAAAATTAGTTAATATGCAAAGTATAGGGATAAACTGACATATAGTCATACTAATTTGTTGCCAAAAAAAAAAGTCATACTAATTTACGGCCCTGCCAAAGCACCAGATTGAGACTGTCCATCTAAGAGATCTAGAAACCTCTTGGACTAATACATCGTATTACAAAATGTGTGAAAGCTCAAAACTTTACATTGGGGGATGACTGAAAGTGTGGGGGTTTGGAAGACCAGTGGATGAGAGCCATTTGCCATTTGCCATGGGAGGAAGGCATGTCAAGAAAATTATCGGAGAGCTATTTCTGGTGGTGCGCCACCGCTGCGCCATATATCTATTTTTCGTTCATCGCCGCTCAACTATGAAACACAGCTTTTATCTCTTGGCATGAATCAGAGCTCCAAACGAATCTTATAATTGGATGTTTGTTAACCAAAACTTGTTTTATTTTTATCTCTGTGATCTCCTTCTCTCTCTCCACGGATGAAGTTGATTAAAAGGATAAGCAGATGAAAAATAAATATCTGTTTCTCTTTTCTTAAGAAATTCATAGGGTTAAATATGTCATTTTCACCTTTTTCTCTTTCTTGTTTTCACTGTTTTTTCCATTCTGCAAATTATGTAATCTTTTTATATTTTGTATGCAAATGGCTCATTTATTAACATCTACATATCATTTTGAAGTTATCTTAAAGTAAAAAACTGAAATTGATCTAAACAAATAAATCACTTCGAGAATACCTTTTCAAAAAATTAAAATTAACTTTTTGCTGCAAGGTTTTGTTTATATTATGAGTTGATAAATATATGCATGTGAGTGAACAAAGAGGAATCATCCTATTTGCTAATACAATGACATATATATCCATAATGTTTTTTGACGTTAGTTCCAAAGGAAAATTCATTACTAAACCATAGTGTTATACGATTACAGCTTCACCGAGTGTCACAGGTCACTTTGTCATAAATATCACAACAAGAGTGTAAGTGAATAATTTAAAGAGATGGGGAAAATCTTGTGACACTCCATAGATCTGAAAGGAAGATCAGTAAGCTTCATCAAGTTCTTATTTCACTTTGTCACTCATTGACTCAACCAAACCATCTTTCCAGATGAAACTTCATAAACCCTTTACAAGTTTCGATCCAGCTTGCTCCTGGGATTTTCTTCAATCCTATTCTTCTCATCCTGTCCCACCTTCATTCATATCTAACCAAAAGCTAAACCGGAGAAAATTAACATTTCGGTTATACTAGACAACTTAATGGGCTTTTAATTGCTCTTACGGCCCATATATAATCGTGACAATGGTATTTATCCATAGGGAATTAAAAAGTGTCGGAATCGACAAGACTTGTTTGAGTTTCATGTCTTGTCTGAGAAACTATCATTCTCGAGTTCGTTCACTGAATCGTGTTATAGCGAACGACGCAAGTGAAGTTGAGAGACGAGCTCGCGCTCTGAGAGTTCTAAACATCATATCTTCGAAACCAAGTGAAACGTCAAATCGCCAGAACCATCTTGGAATCGTTAAGGACTTTCTACGAACAGATTCAAAGCATCTTAGAGATGAACCGATTCCCGAGGATCTCAGCCTCTCAAGAACCAAACATGGAGTCTCAAGCGTGCTAAAAGAAGTTGAGGATTCTTGTAGTTTCGATGCTTATGGTTTATCTTCCGCCGTGAGCTCTTGCGGGTCGGATCGTGACTTTCGAACCGGTTACGGGTTTCATTGCTTAGCTTTGAAAAGTGGGTTTACATCAGATTTATACGTAGGAAGCTCTTTAGTTGTTTTGTATAGAGATTCTGGTGAGATAGATAATGCACATAAGGTGTTCGTTGAAATGCCTGAGAAGAACGTTGTTTCGTGGACTGCTATGATTTCAGGTTTTGCGCAGGAGTGGCGTGTGGATATCTGCTTGAAGCTTTATTCAGAGATGAGAAACTCAACCTCTGAACAACCGAATGATTACACGTTCACGGCTCTCTTGAGCGCTTGTACTGGAAGTGGGGCGTTAGGGCAAGGAAGAAGCGTTCATTGCCAGACGCTTCTGACAGGTTTCAAGTCTTGTCTTCATATCTCAAACGCTCTCATATCGATGTACTGTAAATGCGGAGACTTGAAGGATGCTTTCCGTGTCTTTGACGAGTTTGTAAACAAAGATGTTGTCTCTTGGAACTCTATGATTGCTGGTTACGCGCAGCACGGACTTGCGACGCAAGCAATCGAGCTTTTTGAGGTATTAATGCCTAAAAGTGGGACAAGGCCTGATGCAATCACGTACTTAGGAGTCTTGTCATCGTGCAGACACGCTGGTATGGTAAAAGAAGGAAGAAAGTTCTTCAGTTTGATGGTGGAACGCGGCGTGAAGCCACAACTCAACCACTACTCTTGTCTTATAGATCTTCTAGGCAGGTTTGGTCTGTTGCAAGAAGCTTTGGACCTGATCGAGAACATGCCGATGGAACCAAACGCAGTGATATGGGGTTCTCTGCTTTTCTCTTGCCGTGTTCACGGAGATGTCTGGATGGGAATCAGAGCTGCAGAGGAACGGTTGATGCTTGAACCTGATTGTGCAGCCACACATGTGCAGCTAGCGAATCTTTACGCTAGTGTCAGGTACTATAAAGAGGCGGCCACAGTGAGGAGAGTGATGAAAGATAAAGGATTGAAGACTAATCCAGGTTATAGTTGGATTGAGATTGATAACAATGTTTTCATGTTTAAAGCTGAAGATGGTAGCAACTGTAGAATGCTAGAGATTGTTCATATTCTTCATTGTCTTGTAGATCACATGGATGATGGAACTCCTCTAATACAACGAGAATAGATAAGTACAATAAACTTTATCTTTTACATACATGTGCATCTTTTTTATTTTAACGTTTTCAACAATACAGTACGGTACCTCTATGATTTTTTGAAAAGGCTTTGGATTTGAGTTATTAAACATAACAGGTAATCAAATGAATATAGTTCTATAATGTGGTAAAATGCACCCAAGAGTTCTCCCTAGAATTCTATATAATAATTTAAGTGAAAATAAAATAAAGAGAAGTGGAGACATTCCTGCAATAATTTGTTTGGTTTATAATTTAACTTTAACTTCTGAAGTATGAGTCTGCACGATTGATATTTATTTATGTTTGGATCACGGTCGTTCTTAAAAGTCATTTTCTCTGCAAATACAAAACTGTGTCAGAGTAATCAGTTAACTTTTAAATATATACAGAAACACATCAACTGTGTAATTTATTGTAGGCGGGAACTGAACTTATCCTATTTTTATTATATTCACTAGGAAACAACCCCGCGCGTAAACGCGCGGGAAAGGGAATGGGAATGTTTTATTTTTTGTTTATTTATTTCATTCTGAAACTATTATAAGATATAATTTTTGGGAAGTATAATTACATTTAAAAATTTATATTGGAATATTTGGTTTGTTAGATTGAAATTATATTTAAAGAAAAAGGTCTATATTATTTTGGTAATACAATGTAATGTAAAAATTCTTGCTAAACATAGCTTTTTAAATATCAAAATCATCTTCAATTATTTTTTTTCTTTTTATTTGTGGTCGCTTTATTTCTTCTGTTACTTCCTTTAGTGAGCTTTTAAAAACTTATTTGCTTTGTTGTATAGCTTTTGTTGTCTTTGGTACTCTTTTTTCCGAGTCAGTATCAGTAAAAGAATTTTAATTCTAAATCTTTTAAATTGTCTGCAGTGAAAAATTACTAACCCTTCCAGCTGCATGTCTAGGTTTATTCTTTTTTTGTCCGATTGATGTATTATTTGTGTTCAGCTTTTCTTCAACAATAACACCACTAATATTTGTACAAATCCCTAAAAAATGAGAAAAACACATTTCATACACTTAGTAATTGTTGTAGAATAGAGATTTCATACCATCATAAGATGCATTCTTGTCAGCTATTTCCATAAGTTGATCATAGTCTTGAAATCTAAATTTCTTGCCATTTATTTTTACTTCTTCTTTTATTACATGAGTTATAGTTGAATTTGCATTTAACCTTATGTTAAAAGTATGTTCAGAAATTTTATAAAGTTCAGGAGCCCTCCAAACTTCAAAATTTTTGAATATATATATATATATATATATATATTTTTTTTTTTTTTGCCTTCTAATAATTCCAAGGCAAATTGAGAGATGTGACGTGTGTATAGATTGATCTCATAATTATTGTTCCGTACATTCTAATATATATATTTTTAAAATATATTATAGTTTTTTAATTTAAATTTTTAAAAAACCATCTAATAGTAAGAAATTACGGCTTATAATTTCATTACCATTTTTAGGATTTCTGACTTCCCATATTCGAATTACTCTGCCTAAAATAGTTTGTTCACAACGTTTCATTTTGATATTCTCCAGAAACTTGTATCCCGGGAGCTTGTTTCCTTTCATCTCTATATCCATGTTGTTTTTATTAACAAATTTAGTAGTCCTCATCCTCTTTTTATAGTGACTAACTGGTGGGAACCATGGTGTCCCTTACTGATCAAAAGTTGTGACTTTTTAAAAAGGTAACCTTCTAATTAAAAAATCAATTGTTATATTAAAAAATGAAGTGATTTCAGTGTTTAGGAAATTGAATTTGAAGACGAAAAGTTGTGGGTTCTCGCTAAACAGGTGGGACGTTTCGCGTAAATTTTAAATGGGTAAGGTGGTGTCATCAAATTATCTACACATTTGTTATCCATTACTAAATAACGTAAATGTAAAACGTTAGCAGAGTACATATTTATGGAAGTAATGTTAGGACGGGACATGTTAAACGCATGAGCCGTCAACTATTGTTTCAATATTTGGGCATCTCATTAATCTCCCAACTCATGAATGAAGTTGGAGTAATTTCTTATGTATTTACAAAGTAATTAAAGAAGAGGCCAATATATTGGACAACATAGTAGTACCGTTCTACCTGTATTTTTAAATAAGTTCACAACGTTTCGTTTAATAATTTGCTTATCAGACGGTTTTTGGCGGTTAATTACATATTTTGACTCCTAACCGCTGGGTCCTCAATCTCTATAATATTATTTGACAAGTCAGTTTCCTATGTGTCGCTCTCACGTTCGCTCTCACGATGGTTGATTACATTGATACCCTTAATGAATTAAAAATAGTTAAAATAATATTATTAATTTTTTTTTAGTTTCCTTTTCAAAAATTTCCAAAAATATATGTAATAAAAAGGAAATTTTTTATAAAGTCATGAAAACAAATTGAAAACGAAAAATATATGTATATATAATATGATTTCATATAAAAGGAAAGTTCACAAAATAGTAATAATACATTTAAAAATATTTTTAAATAATATAAAATATAATTTTAGAGTAATAAAAATAGTTTATAATTAGTATTATTGAATTTTTTTTTTCATATATTAAGTTGACTATAATATCTTTCAATTACAGAAAATTATCTATAAATAATATTTTACTTATATCATATTATTTTCAAATACAGTCACAATTTTATGTAGTGGTTATTTTTAAGAGATATTAAAAACTAAAAATAAATTTAACAATAAACATCACTTGATCAAATAATTTATCATTATTAAAATTATTTTTTTTCTTAATATTAAATTTTATTTTTAATTTTAAATTTTTATATTTGTGAAACTAAATATAAGCATAATCAAAATACCAAAGAAAATCTGAATTCCCATTTTTAAGATTATTTAAAATAAATTTTTGTTTACATTCAATAAATCTAAAGCATAAAGTTTTATTTTTTTTATAACACTGGTGCAATGGTACAAAGAAAGTTCCAAAATAACATAAAGGTTTATTTAGAATTTATAAATATTTTAATTATTGTAAATATTGATATATGTTCATGAGGTTCCAAAAATGTATCAACTACTTATGCATGTAGCCTTTTATTGATCATAGGATAACTCAAAACATATTACCAAATGAAAATAAATATTAACCAACTCTTACAATTTTAGTTCTTTAGTAAAATTTATATATATGCATGAGGCTTTAGAATATTATCGTTATATTAATTTACTTATTTTGAAATTAGACACTTTATAGTTAATTTTTAATTCATTCTAAGCACAATATATCTTAAGTTATACATAATTTTTCTAAAATATATTTACATATCTAAGACAACACCCACTATATGCAAATAAGTAATTAATAAAAATTAATATATTTTAAAATATTACCGTTGAATTCAAAGAAGTAATTCAATTTATCCAAATGATAACTAAATCAACCGTAAAAAGAACAAAATCGACTAGATATAACATATATAAAATTAAAGTATAACTAAAGTAATAAAATATTATTAATATAAATGATACATACAAATTATAAATTAATTTAAAATTAAAACTAAATAGTAATCAATTATTATCATATATTTACTTTAAAAATATTTATACCCGTGCATGAGCACGGGAAAATCACCTAGTTTATATATATTTCCTTTTCACCCAATTTATATATATGTTGTTACTTCTAATTATTAAAATTTAGGCATTAACACATTCCTATTTATTTTGTAATCTGAATAAATTAATTGGCATGTGGCTGACTTTTTGTGTTACTTACAAATGTTGACAATATGAAAATCAATGTTACTTATTGATTAAATTATCAAAGTTTGCATCATAATCTAAATTACCAACAATATCCATTTTAAAATGATTCATCATTGGAATGGAAAGATACAATTTTTCACATTTAACAGATGTCCTTTCAAAAGAAATTCATATTATGTTACTTAACAGTAGTTGCTTTCGCACCATCGTTTTTAAAATATAATTATGCTGCGGAGAGAATTGTATGAAGTCAAGTCCTTCTCATGTGCATATAAATGCATATATATTGTTTTCAACCAGCCACCATGCATTATTTAATTATGTCCTTACACGTACCTGTCTTACGATTATGGAGAAGTGTTCAATTCTTGTCGACCTCTTCACCACGGAAACGTAACCGCCAACGTTAACGCCGGTTATACCCAAGCTAATCAATTCACTAAGTTTTTGAATTAAATCGTTTCCCCTTTCGTTTTGGAATGAAATCGTGTTCCCTTATATACCTACGTTAGTTGCTGTTCACAGGAGAGGTCGAGTTCGAGATCGGAGACAGAGATCGGGGTCCTTTTTTCAGATTATACTATCTCCAAGCGAGGGAGTGATACAAGTAACGAAGTCTGTCTATGGCTTCTCTGTGTTGAACGGAGAAGTACCTTTCGGTGTACGAGACAATGGTTAAATTAATCAATGTGCTCTGTTTCTATATGAAGAAAAACAGAGTATTGCTTCTCAGACTAATTATGACAGTGGTTACTTCAGTATATACAAAATCGTACAACAATATCAGTAACTGTTTGGATGAAAGATCAGAGATGCCTAGGACGCAGCCGGAATAAGAACAAGCGGAGGCTACACCGCAGGAAAATCTATGTTGCAACGCTCGAGGGATATGAGAAATGACGTGGTGGTGGCGGAGAGGAAGATAATGAGGCGGAGACTAAACAAACGACCACGCCGCGGGAAAAACCAAAGTCGTAAGGGCCGAGCGAGATGAGAAATGGGGTTGTGGTGGCGGAGAAGAATATAATGATGATCACTGGTTTGGGGTCAAAAGAGACGCGAGTTTAACTAAGGAGGAGGAAGAGGTGAAAACAACGTCCGTTTGCGTAGATGAATACTCAGACAACAAGTCCAAGATTTGAAGCGGAGAGGGTGGTTTAGAATTGTTTGTTTTTTACCTTTTCCCAATGAAACACGTTTGCTATATATAGAGCCCAAAGGTTGTGTACAAGACACATGACTTTTAATCTAAAAGACATGACTTTTAATCCAAGGGACATAATTTTCTATCTAAAAAGACATGACCACTCTCTTAACAAATACAACCCTTCATCTGTAACCGATTTAACACAAATAAACATTACTAATTTTCATACTAACTATACGAATGATGAAAATCATTTAAAAATAACCAAGACAACTGTAAACTGTGATGGTCATTTATAGATCTTTTCAAGGGGTGCAATGGTTTAATTGTGGGAAGGCATTGGTTCGGGGAGACAAAAGGCGTTGGTTCGGGAATACAAAAGAAGTCATTTTCTTATATATAAGATGACATCATTTTTTAAAAAGAAACTCAATCATGTCCGTTAGATTCAATAAATGAAACAAACCTAACCATTAGATCTGTTTTTTTTTTCTATAAAAAAAATGATGATGTCATAGGTGAACAAAAATCGGTTTGCTATTATGTATAGATTTTTGTTACATTATTTTCTTCATATTTGTACTATTTACTGCTATAAAACTGGAATTATTGACTAATCATCAAATTTTTAAATAATCTTATATCTGATAATGCAGAAATAAAGATATCTTAAACTTTTGTCCAAAAAAAAGATATCTTAAACTAAAGTGATCGAATCCAACACATAAGTCGATGTAAGAAAAGATGAGTGGAAAGTGTCTGCTTTCTCCACTCCTTAAAACTTGTTGTCCACTATCATTCCCTCCACCACCACCATTACAAAGACGACAAAAGAAGAAAAAGAAAAAAGCGAGAGAGAGAGAGACATGGATCTAGACTGGCTAGCAACTTTTCTCAAGGACTACGAATGGCTAATCACGTATCTCCAGACCATGGTGAAGCCCGCGGCGGCGCTCGCCGTCGTGCTTCTAGCCGTGGCTCTCTCCTACTCACAGAAACTCTCTTTAGAAGGAGAAATGATTTACTCTGTTTTCCGTTCCTTTCTTCAGCTCTCTGTTATAGGATTCGTTCTTCAGTTCATCTTTAACCAAGAAAACGCAGGCTGGATCATCCTAGCTTATCTTTTCATGGTCTTTGTAGCTGGTTACACCGCCGGACAACGTGCCAAGCACGTGCCACATGGAAAGTACGTGGCGGGAGTATCTATCCTTGTGGGAACAGGTATAACAATGTTCTTGCTCGTGCTGCTTAACGTCTTTCCTTTCACTCCGAGGTATATGATCCCTGTGGCGGGGATGATGGTCGGAAACGCTATGACGGTCACCGGAGTTACAATGAAACAGCTACGAGATGACATCAAGATGCAACTTAGCCTGGTACGTGTTTTTACTTTTAACCCAATTTTCGGAAAATTATTAGACTGTAACTAGACTCTTAGTAGATGATTATGGATTAGGCGAATTACTCGAATTTAACAAATCACTGATTTATGTTTTATATATTTTACATTTAGTTATAATTTTTTTGATGAATAATTAAAATTAGATATATAAAAAGGAAATCAAATAAATTTGTTAATTTAAATTTAACTTTATTAGTTGTTTTACTAATTTAGAACACTTTAGACCGATTTGAATCCCATAAATTAGATCTTAGAGCAACCCATTGAGGGTTTATGAGGGGAGTTCACACGGAAATCAAGAAAAAAAAAAACAAAAACAAAAACCTATGAATCCCTCTCTCCTAAAGTTCTCTCGGGTGAACCCCTCTCTCCTAAGGTTCACCACGTGGCGATCTGGGATTGGTTTAGGTTTTTTTTTTCAAAAAAAAAAATAAAATAAAAAACAGAAAAATTTTAGTAATAAAAAATTGATTCAATGAACCCCCTCTTGGGGTTCATTGATGTGGATGCTCTTATGAAAATAATTTTGTGCTATGACCGATTTGCCATCTAAACGGATTTTTAGAACGAATTTTAGTAACATTGGGTTTACATAACTTAATCGAACCAAGTTTCCGGTTTCATTGATATGTTAAAAACCATAGGTGGAGACGGCTTTGGCACTAGGAGCAACACCACGACAAGCGACGCTGCAACAGGTGAAGAGAGCTTTGGTGACATCTCTATCTCCAGTTTTGGATAGCTGCAAAACCGTTGGTTTGATCTCTCTACCGGGAGCAATGACCGGTATGATAATGGGCGGTGCGTCGCCTCTTGAAGCTATTCAGCTACAGATAGTTGTGATGAACATGATTGTTGGAGCAGCCACGGTTAGTAGCATCATGTGTACGTATCTTTGTTGGCCATCTTTCTTCACTAAAGCTTACCAGTTACAAACTCATGTCTTCTCAAGTTGATGTTTTTAGCCATCCTTATATTTTCAATCATCATGACATGGTCTAAGTTATGACTTAACACATTGACAAAAAATATTTAACAAATATTTAACGGAAAATAATAAAATTAAACACAACAACCTCCTTTTGTGATTTTCAGACCAAAAAACAAAATAAAAAGGTTCTGTTTATATCACCTCCGTTTGTTTTTACTCCCAATCAAGAGCGTGAAATAAAACAAAACCCTAAAGAAAAACCCCCAAGCTACCGTGATCCACAAGCAATTCCATTTACTAATCTCCGTGATCCCTTGCTGCTTCAAAATATCAATCCCCGTCGTCACACACGTCTCCGCCGTCACATTAACCCCCAAAACACCACTCATACTCTTCAGCAAACTCACTTTCACATCGTTCGAAACTCCCCCAAGCGGCGAGTTATCAAACATCTGAATCCCTCTAACAAAACACTTGGTCGGATCTTCAAACTCGTTCTGCAAAACCCCTTCGTAAGGATACTTCACAAGCGAAAGGTAATGAAACCATATCCAGTAGAGAGGGATACGATCACGAGAGATGAAGAAGCCAGAGAAGAGTAAGAAGTAAGCCAAGATCGCTACAACGACGGTAAAACCTAGCATTACATTCGAAACGACGCCGGATAAGAACGTTACAAACGAGCTTCCCGCCCAGAAGGAAGCCAAGATCGTGAGGAAGAAGAAGAGGAAGCCACTAGCGCCACCAGCGAGTCCCACCGCGAAGTAAGTGGTGGCTGCGAAGCTTGCCGCGAGGAAGATGAGTGAAGGGATTGAGATTATGGATTGTGAGAGGACGTAGGAGGATCTTCGGTACGCGTTGTAAGCGGTTTCTCTCATGAATATGTAACGTTCTTGTAAGAAGACAGGGATGGCTTCTGCGCATGTGTAGAACGTTGTGGACATTGCGAAGGCGAAGAACCCTAGACGTTCTTGGACTCCTTTGGGAGAAGTGTCGAGTTTCGTGAATATTGTGGCTAAGATGATTCCTGTGACCATAACAGCTCCGAAACGCATACCTAAAAGCTCTGGTTGTCTCGTCGAGTTAAGTATAGCACGTTTAGCTATGACTATCATTTCTATCCAGAAAGGGTTTGCGTAATTTGTTTCTTGGGAGACAAGTTTCCCTCTAGAGACACTCGCGGTGATTGCTTCTTTGAGAGAGACGTTGTTTTTTGTATTGCCAATGTTTGCGTGCTTCGCACGCCATTCCTTGTGGTACACGACAAGCTTCTTAGTTCCTTCTGGTGAGTTTTCAAGCTCTCGGATTAGGTCTAGCGCGAACTCTGTTTTGTTCTCGTGTTCAGGTATAGGGTGGTCGAACTCTGAGAAGAACCGAGGGAGATGTGTCGGAGAGCCGCTGAAGACAGTGTTTCCTCTAGACAAGAAGATTAACCGATCAAACAGCCCCATGATTCTGTAACTAGGTTGATGTATAGACATGATAACTATACTACCACTCTGTGCTATCCTCTGAAGCACTTTGATAACCATGTAAGCGCTTGTAGAGTCAAGCCCTGAGGTTGGCTCATCAAGAAAGAGTATAATAGGGTTATGTATTATGTCTATCCCTATTGAAACACGTCTCCTTTCTCCTCCAGACACGCCTCTATGTCCTTCATCACCAATCACGGTTCTTGCAGCGTTTCTTAGCCCTAGCTGGTCGATCAAAGCTTGTACTCTAGCTTTCTTCTTGGTCTTGGAGAGTGAACGTGGGAGCCTGAACTCTGCTGAGAACATGAGAGTTTCTTCAACGGTGAGCATGGGAAAGAGAAGGTCGTCTTGCATCACGTAAGCTGATATGACTTTCTGGAGTCTTGATTCAAGAACTTCACCGTTTAAGGTGATGGAGCCTTTGAGACTGTCTTTGGAGATACGGTTGGCTAATGCATCGATGAGTGTTGATTTACCTGACCCGCTTGCTCCAAGAACAGCCATCATCTCTCCTTCGTGGGCTTCCCCTGAGATACCGTTTAGTAGTATCTTAGTGTTGGTGGCAGAATCGTTTGTAGCAAAAGGGTGACACTTCTTGCGTGTCTTGACGCTGTAGGTTAAGTCTTTGAAGGAAAGAACAAACGGGGAAGATGATATAGAAGATGCTGAAGAAGTGGACTGTGAGGCCATTTCTAAAGCTCGTTGATCATTCCTTGAATCCTCCACATGATTCATGAGAAGCTCAGCGAGTGTGGCAGTGACTCTAGGCGTGTCTCTTGGAGATCTCTGAGGCTCCATTGAAGTCTGGTTTGAATGAAACAGAGGAAGGTCATTGTTACGTTTGGCTGGAGATAATTTTCCAAGGAAGCTAGACATGTTTTTTTTTTTTTCTCTATCTCCCCACAAAGAAGATGTGAATATGAATGAGAGGAAACTATATAGACAGAAGAATGAAAGAAATACGAAATGGTCAATGTGAGTGGGTGAACTCTAAATATCTAACGATGGTTTTTATTTCTGGTTTTTGTATGTGTTGATGTAATGTATTACCTAAAAGTAAACGGGTAGGTGAGACTTGAGAGGAGTTGTGCAAAAAAACACCTTATGTTTATGTTCATTTCTTGAGGCTTAAGGTATGTTGAGAACTCGTTATTTCTTAGTGTTTGTTTAATAATATGGGTTTAGCTACACGGGTGATGTGGATTGAAAGAAGTGTATAAACTGGTTTTAGCCAAGAACACATTGTGTTGATGATGTCAATCTGTGGAGAAATATTGTTCATGGACAATATCATGTAACTGTGTTGCTAAAATTATTCTGATTTTATTCTATTGATATATCACCACTTTTTGAAAATGATACACAAATTACACTTGTTAAAATTATTCTATGTCTGTCTGACATTAGCATAGGTCTCGTGTGCAACATATATGATGACTTTCTTCTGAGAAGTTGATATGACAAAACGAATGAACTAGAAAAGTCACTGGAATAAAATGTGGACACACGACTTCAATAGTAAGAGCAGGCTACACGAAAGCCCCCAAATTCTCATTAGAAAATAGATAAATATAAGCTTAACGTGAGGAACTAGGCATATAACACCAAAACAAATTGCATAATACAAGCATAACGTGGAGAGATAGGGCATATATATATGTTTGGTGTGGCTGTTATATCTGTTTTTCAGGACTCTATACTATACGCTTTATTTATTGACCTAAATCAATACATCCCATTTACCTATTCTTACAAGAAATCACATGACCCTCAAATAAAAAAAATATCTACTAGTGTAAAATCTGTTTTATGACGCCTGTCCCTTTCAAGTTTTCCAGTATAATAGAGGTTGACTAAAGTTCTTATAAACAATGTTTCAAACTAGAATCAATGAGTTCCGGTAGGTATGTTCTTAATATTGTGGCATATGACACTAATAATAAAGCCATAACAAAATTTCTCGTTACTGCTCAGAAGTTGAAAGCACAATTACAGAAAAATGCAAAACATGTAGAAAACATTTTATAACCTACTCACATTGACTGCCATTCTAAGAAAGTGTATTGTATGCCTGAGTCTTGAAAACTGAACGTCATTTTAACGTAGAATTAAGTATCAACTATCAAATTAAAACATCTATGGATTTTCTTTTGTATAAAAGTATTACATGTTGCTCTGATTGAAACATTCAGCTGATTTTAGAAGTGTGCTAAGGTTAACGAAGACGAAGAGCATATTTTATAAATAGTCATGCACGTCTTCTTTGATTTAGGTAGATAATTTCGTAAATAGTATTCTATGGTTAAGAGAAGTTCTCACTTTATGATTACGACAGATTAACATCAACCTATAGAAAATTAGCAAATATACACGATAGCAAAGACTTAGCTAGCTATTGCTCACTCGTCATGAATATAAATACACGAACGCATAGTTAAATGACATTAATGTAATGTAATCCTAATTAAAATTTAGGATAAATACAGGAAATTATAATCCCTACTTGATTCCTAACTTAAAAAAATATATATTTATGAAAATAAGTCCATTTACATAAATCCTAATCTCTAAGATTCAGATTTATCAACATAACTTCCATTTTTTACAAACTCTAAAGCTGGATAAAATCAACATATATTAAAAATCAATTATAAATCATAATGATAGATCCTGTATTTAGGCCTATATTTAATTTTTTTTCATCTTCAGTAACAGATTTTAATTCTGAAAATTATACCAAAAATGACATTTCATTAAAAACTACCTTTTCACTATTTTTAATTAACCAGTGTGGATTTGTGTTAAGAAACGCCAGGAAAAAAACAGAGTATACGCCTTAAAAATTAGACATAAATGTTGGAAAAAAAAAACAAAACCTATTTGCGCGTGAAATAATCTGGTAATTAGCATAATTGATAAATTAGTCAAAAAAATAAAAAAACAATCAAAACAAAAAGACCATCATCACCCGGGAAAATATTGAAGAGAAGGAAGAGAGGCACGTACACGGTACGTCTGACTTGTTCTCCTCTCTCTCGCATCACACTCCGTTTAATTTTCTCTCCATTGCCATAGAAACCATTCTCAATTTTATTTCAAATTCAAAAATTCGAAAATCCAGCTTTTGTGATTTTTTTTGTAAAAGGAGGAGAATAATCAAATAACAATGTCGTGGTTGAGATCGGCCGTGCACAAAGCAGTCGAAGTCGGCGGGAACAACAATCTCACCCGCACCGTTCGCGGTTACGCCGGCTCCGTCGTCTCCACCGCCGGTAACGCCGTCTCCGGAGGTGCCAAACTGATCCAAGATCGCATCGTACGTATATAATCAAAACTTTCCCTCTCAAAAAAAAATTCAAAATTAGTTTCTCTAACCGCTGAATGATCTCTAACAGGGATCGAGGAACGTGAAGAGCTTTACACTCGCGGTGAAGAGATTAGAAGAGGTCTCGGTTTCTTCCCGAGGCGGCGAGAGAGTGCAGTTGCTGAGGAGGTGGCTTGTGGCTCTTAGAGAGATTGAGAGAATGTCTTCCGAGAGTATTGTTGACGATCAGAATCAATTTTCTTCCGAAGAAGCTAAGGATTCTCCGAAAAGTTTCAGCGCTGTGAGTGATTTTAGAGTCACACATTGTGTTTGTTTTTGTTTTTTGGGGGTTATGATTGTGTTTGTGGGATTGGATTTAGGTTTATTACGTTGATCCTGGTCTTCCTGGTGAGCCAATGACTTTTAGAGATGTGTTTCTTCATAGTGAGGCTCTTGAAGGGATGGTTTTATCTATGGTAAAAATAAGATGAGATTCTTTGTGTTGCTTCTGCTTTTGATTCTGAATACTTGCGGTGGAAGCAACACAAGATGAGTTTTTTTGTTTTGTTGAGATACATTTTTTTTTTAATTAGATTCTGGAAGCACCAAATGAAGAAGAAGTGCAGCTGCTTCTGGAACTGTTTGGGTGATGCTTTCTCTTCCAACTCAGTTATTTTTATGAGTATATGAAGCCTTTTTATTTTGCCTAATATGGTCATTGGTTGATACATACAGGCTCTGTTTGTCAGGAGAGAAGGAGGTTCATGAAGCAGTGATTCAAAATGTGAAGGACTTAGCGATTGTGTTTTCCAAATACAAGGATGAAGTTTTGGTAAGGATGTGCTTGGATTTTACAAAACTTGTGTTCTGTCACTTAGTCACTGTTCCTTTCTAGTCTGGATAATCTCTTTGTGTTACTTTTTTTTTTCTAGGCAAAGCGAGAGGAACTTCTTCAGTATGTCCAAAGTGCAATCGGAGGACTAAAGATCAATGCTGATCTCGCAAGGTATTATTGGATCAGAACCATATTTTATATATACACTTTTTAAATTTTCATGTTTTGAAGTGTCCAAGTCTTAAGAATTTACTTCTCTCGTTTATATACCATTTGTGACTAGCTCAGAATAGATACTGAAGCACATGATCTGATGGAGAAACTTGATAAGACAAAGGTCAAGGTTCTTGAGAAGGCTTCAAATGAAGATAGTTCCAAACCCGGTGGAACCAATGCTGCATCAACCGAGGTGAGATTGTCCCAGCTATTGTTGCTTTTACCTTCATCTTTTATTGCACAGTTTTTTTTTCTAAATATTTTCATGATTTTTTTGATAATTTTCTGGATCAATCCATGTGAGGTGTACTGAAAACTTGGGTTGCTGCAGGCTCTCCGAGAAATTCTTGAGCAAGTTCGCACTTTTTCTAAGCTAGAAGCACTCTTGCTAAAGAAAAAATCATTAAGAAATGGAGATTCTCTTCAACTCCACAATGAGAAGGTGAAAACTGCACACAACTCAGAACCGAACTCTGTTTTTATTATTATTATTATTATTATTGCATTTAAATGTTTATCTAAGTTCACTTTGTATTGAGCAGGTTGATAAACTCAAAGTTCTGTCAGAATCTTTACTCAGTTCCACCTCGAAAGCTGAAAACCGAATTGTGGATCATAGGTGAGAGCAAATGTAACCTGGTAGTCAAAAATTTTATCTGCTTTCGATAATACTTTCATAGTTTACATCTATCTTTCTTTCCATATCTAAAAGCAGAAGTCAAAAAGAAGAAGCTCTTAGTTTCCGACTTTCCAAAACCAATGAAGTCAGCCAGGGGGAGAAGGTTTGCATCCCATAATCTCCTTAACTTCGTCAATGAAATATTGACTCAGTGTGTTTTCTTGTACACATTCTTATCATCCACAAATGTGATTTTCAGGATGTAGAGGCAGAATTAAAAAACCTTGAGATTATGAAAGATGATCTTGAAACTGAGCTGAAAAGGGTATCTTCCATAAGAACTTATTACAGAAAAATTTACTGAACTCGTAGATTAAGATTTGTCTGTTTTTTTTGAAGGTCAACACTTCAATAACATCAGCCCGGGCTCGCCTTCGCAATGCCAAAGAAGAAAGAGAGCAGTTTGATAATGCAAGTAATGAAATTCTTTTGCACCTGAAGTCAAAGGTAACTTTACTTCTTGCATGTTCTTATTAGCTAGATTGAACATAAGCAATGTCATAGTATAAGAATAATTTGTATGTTTGGCTGGTTTACGTTGTAGGAAGACGAGCTAACTCGTTCGATATGTTCATGCCGAGTAGAGGCAGATGTTGTGAATAAGTGGATCAAGTTTTTGGAAGAGACTTGGATTATACAGTCTAGATTTGCTCAACAAAAGGAAATACAAGTGAGGTATATGTGATTATATCCACTATGCAAATAATTCAGCTATTATGTCCGTTTCCTTAATTACTTTGCATGTGATCTGTAATTTGCCATGGATTGATACTCAAGTGGGGAGATGGAGAGATATGGTGACCATTTCATAGACCTTATTGTTCAACTCCTCTCTTTCTACAAGGTATTATTTCTATATGACAACTTTATCATGACACAGTACAAAATAGTATTTGATGCCACTTCCTTTCATGTCAGACCTTAGACTGTAAATCAAAGATTTATCTCACATTCATACTGTTAATATCAACTCAGGAACAATTGGATCCTTCTATACCAAAGATCCGAAGTGTAATTGAAAATTTGGAACCAAATAAAGGGTAATATATCACTTACCTGTTCCTGTAAATTTTAGTTGATTAACATATTAAAACTGGTAGCTTTGTGTGATCTGTTTATGGGAAAATATCAGGTTGGAATCAGAAAGAAAGATAGACGATAAGGATGCAAAGCCAATCGAATCTAGAAAACAGCTTGAGAAGGAGTATCTGGACCTCGAAGCTAAGGTAAGTAGCTTTAGAAAATAAACGTGTAGACCACTTCACTCAGTTTTAATTATGAAACAACATTCCTAAGCTTGAAAAAGCCGATATGATTCTTGTTTATTAACCTTTTCAGTTTGTAACAACATTAAGTGTGGTGGATGCAATGAAAAAGCCGTTCTATTCACAAACGGAAGGTATATCCAGGTAAAGCTACAAAAACATGTCCATTCATTTCTTTAGACGTTATAGTCATATTCAGCAAAGTATGAGTTTAAAAAAAAAAACACTTCATTCTCTCGTGGTTTGGTGTTGTTTTGATCCAGGAAAGACGATAAACGAGTGAAAGAACTATTTGAGGCATTAGACAAAACAAAAGAAGAGTTTGAGTCTATCGAGCGCCCGCTTCTTGATATAGAATCTCCTGCAAGAACATCTTCTTCTTCACGCTCACCCTCCCTGAAAATGACGCTCGACACTCCACTTTCCGACACAGTCCCGACAAAACCTGCTGATGATGATTCTCCGGACAGTAAAAAAGGGTTATCAGAGAAAGAAGACGCGGTGAAGAATCAGCTGGAGTTGGAACTGGACGATGGAGAAGAGTTCTTGGCNTAGAATCTCCTGCAAGAACATCTTCTTCTTCACGCTCACCCTCCCTGAAAATGACGCTCGACACTCCACTTTCCGACACAGTCCCGACAAAACCTGCTGATGATGATTCTCCGGACAGTAAAAAAGGGTTATCAGAGAAAGAAGACGCGGTGAAGAATCAGCTGGAGTTGGAACTGGACGATGGAGAAGAGTTCTTGGCTGATGAAATCAATGATTGGGAATTCGATGCTCTTGATGACACTCACCACCTCGAAAACCAATAGCTGACCCAACCCATATTTTTGCAAAAGTAAGCCACTTAAACTCATGTTTAGCTAAAACTTTCAAAGGCAATAGACATTATTGGATAAGTCAGTCATAATTCGTTATAAGAAATGTTAAGTAACAGTTGATATAGGGTATAGTGTCAACTTAATATTAGTAAAGAAACTTATTCGATATTACATTTTGTTTTGTTTTTGTGTAAGGTAGCATATGATGGAGGAAAGTGGGGAGTACATGAATTACTGTTTAACCAACTGAAAGTTTCTGGCTTTCCAGATTTTTATATAAAACATATAAAGGAATTTTGTAAGTTTTTTTCTTCTTGATTTTTTGAAGTTCTAGCTTGAAATATGATCAAAATGTAGATATTATATTATAGCTTTCCAATAAGTTTAAAGTGAATTTGTCCTTCTTGGCGGGAGTTAAGAATTTATTTTTTGTTTATATGGATTTTTCCTTTCATTTCCGTCCCTATGTGATATATATTTTTAATGTCGTTGTCTTAAAAATATATTCCTGAAAATTTTTGAGGGAAATGTGCTTGCTTTGTTAGCAAATTATGTTTGAAATTAAAAAAGTTTGAATTGGGAACTGCATTCATTGTGGTTGTTAGGTTCTAACGAACTAAATGCACTTTGTTACCTTCACACAGAACAAAGTGTTTATTGCACACTGAACCCACCAAAGGAGTTTGAACCTTTTTTGGTCTTGCCAGTGTCATCGCCCACGACTTGTTTATACAGTATTCGCTTTTAAGAAGAAAAAAAATGTACACAATTTACAAAGAATCATAATATTTTTCCCTTCTCATTAGACATGTAAATAATACTTGAGCTACAAGCCTACAACTGAAAGCAAAGAAATAAATACTACAATAATTTAACAATAAATGTCAATGGAGATGCAAACAAAACAAGTGATCAAACCATTATACTTTATTTTAAAATTTATCATCCACTATTATAACCATTTTCCATTTGTATGCATTGACACAGAGCTTGTTTGCTTCAACTGGATCACAAAACAAAGCTAAATCAAATTATTACAGAAAAGTTAGACAACTCATGAGATCCAATTTGATTTGATTGACATATTTTTGGTAGAAACTGCAAAAGCAGTCGAATGGTTTTTTGTTGTTATCATTCAGTTTCTTGGCATAGTCCTACCTGAACAGGTCGATTTCCATATTACATTTTTTTACAATATTTTCAAGAGGTTCAAATTCAAATTACGTGGTAGCTAAAGATACGGCTGCTCATTCACAATTTCAAATACACTTACTTATTAGTTATTATTAGAAGACGTAAATAAACAATAACAAAATAAAGAAACAAAGTAGGTCCACTTTCATATGAAGTGTAGTGGTTTTATGGTGTGCATATGTTTTGACTGAGAGGTTTTCCACTACTCTCACTCCATTATAAATCAAATGTGGGATATAAACTATTTAATGATTTGTCTATAATATGCGTGTCATTGGCATTATCATTTCCTTTATTTTCTAAAACCTTTTGGGATATTTCAGAATGCTAAAGACATTATGTTCTTCCTGGAAAATGAGATTGAAAATATTTTAACAAAAAAAAAAAAGACTGAAAGTGGTGAGCATTTACTTTGTGAGTTGTTTCAATGATTGAAACAGAGAAGAAGTTACTCTGCTTTTTAAGTACTTCGCTGTGTACGACAGAGTTTCCACTCCACTTCTCTCCAACACACACTAAGACGTAATTTGCACGAAGTTATCACCTATATAGTACAATTAATTAACACTTCCTTTTTATTACTAAGAATTTTATAAATACAACTTTTTCACATGGATATTTGGTAAAAGAAGTTGTAGCCGATTTTAATAAAATTACAAGTAACAAATCCAATAATGTGTAAATGCGAAGTGCATACATACATCCATTTTTCTTATTTCGAAGTTTCTGCACTCGGTAAAAAGGGGACAGAGCTAATCTTACATATAATTATTTTATGAATAAAGAAAGTAGAAAGCGAAAAGACTTGAAAAAATATTATAGAAGTGTGGGGATGAAAGGAGGCATCCACTTACTCCCAAGTCACAACCTGCAACAATTATTACACTTTGTAGATATGAAAAGATAACTTTTTGATATGTGGTAACAGGAGCTATGCATTTTTGTGTATCTTGTAAAACAAAAACATATCGTGATATTTTTCTTCCTTCTTTCTTTATAAAAGATCGCGACTTCTGTCAGCTACCGTTAGTGCTCTTTTACCATTCACGTGACGTTTGTTACTGTGGCCAATGAGACACGAAGCAAAGGATATACTAAATTTTTTTTTTTGCTTGTTCCACTGGCTATGACCGTGAGTTGTGTGGTGCGGAGTTATAGCCGTTTTGTATCTCTCTGTCTCTCTTTGACTGTCGTCTGCAGCTTAGTGTGGTTGGTTAGTCATAATTGTGTTATTTTGAGTTGGTATTGCATGCTACAATGTACATTCACTTCATGAATATTTTCTGTGTAATCACATGTGCTAATAGTTTTTTGGTTTACCTAAAACTTGTCATCTACAAAGGTTAGTATGTTCTATGTACATTAAACAATCATGTGTTTATAAGTTATGTTTCAGAATTTTTCATAATTTTCAGAGATTTGATACACAGTATAGTAATTTAGATCTACATAATTGGAATATTAGGTTTGTGAATCGTTTGGATCAATGTGGACAGTTTAGTTTTCAAGTTGAAATCGGAATGTTTGGTTTTAGTGAAGTTATTTGTAGGAAAAATATGTATTTATCGAGAATTGAGAGAGAACACAAGTTTAAGGTTGTAAAAGAGAAATAAAGTACGAAGAATGGGAACTTAATCTGTGGACAACTTCAAAATAGATCAGCAATCTCATTAGTCTTTTTTCCACTAGTCGATTTAATTATTTATTTCATACTTCTATTGCATCATTATATCCAATCTGTATATCATGAACTGGAGCTTGTATCATAAATTCACACTAGTTTATATCCGTGTAGCATATTTAACTAGGATTGTGCTTAGATGACTAAAAAATCAAATACATGTGACTCTAACATAATACTAAAATAGAGCGTCCTACTATACATTTTCAACAAATTAAACGTGAAATTATTCATCACTGTACAGTACTGCTATTACTGTACTACTACATTAAAAATCATACAGTTTTATCACCAGATTTATATGATTATAAAAAAATCTTATTACTACTATTCTCATATAGTTCTTTTTTTTTTGAAAACCTTTCATCACCATTTCTGCTTTTCTACAGATATTACTCTATTATACGCCACTAATCATACATGTAATAATAACTTAATAGCCAAAATGCAAATTCCCACGCTGCATAACACAAATGGTTGGTCTGATTAATAAAAAAAACGTATGCAACGGTAAAGTTTGAGATCGTGATATCAAAACAAGGAACCACTAAAGAAACCGGTGGCCATAGTCACAAATCTTTTCGAAAACATAAAAGAATTACGTAGTTTGGATGTATTAACAAATTCTTCTTAATAAAAACTCAAAATGTTATAAAACTGTGGAAAAAGTAATACAAATTTAAATGTATCACAACTTTACAAGGCGTTTATTTATATTTTTATCTAAATAAAATAATTAAAAAGGAAGAAAAAAAAAACAATAAATTAAAAGAAATGCCACTTTAAAAGATGCTCTTTCCCTCCTCCCAACCTCCCATGAGCTCTTTCTCAGTTCTCTCTTGAAGTAATAAGTAACCAAAGAGAGAGAGAGATTTTCAGACACAACATACAACAGTTACATACACCATTACATACATAAAAACAATGGATTTGCATGGACAAGAATCAAGAACACAAGCCATGTCCAGCGACTGCGACGACGATTACATAGACATGGAACTCAACCTCTCCTCCTCCTCTTCCTCAAGATTCATCAGCTTCGCCGTCAACTCCTCTCCGCCTCACAGCAGAGAGTTCGAGTTCCAAATGTGCTCCTCCGCCGTAGCTTCCGGCGAGTCCACCACATCTCCCGCCGACGAGCTCTTCTACAAAGGCCAGCTCCTCCCTCTCCACCTCCCTCCTCGTCTCCAAATGGTCCAAAAGCTTCTCGCCTCCTCCTCCTCCTCCTCCGTCGCAATCTCCACTCCCATTTCCCCACGCGCCGCCGTATCCTCCCCGCGGAGATTCAGTAGCAGCGAGATCGACGTAAGCGAGCACTGTTACATCGAGGAGGTAAAGAGATTCAAGAAGATCACTCAAAAGCTTAAAGCTTCACGTGCTTACATAAGATCTCTCTTCTCCAGACCAAACTGCTCAGATTCATCGGAGATCCAATCTGAACCAATCAAGAACTCTAAATTATCCAAAAAGAAGAACCCTTTTGTGAAAACAGAGTCTTTAACTTTAAGCAGCAGCAAGAACCCTCCTTTGATTCATAGGAGATCGTTCTCTAGTGTGATACAGAGACATTCTCAGCCAAAATGCTCTGTTTCTTCTTCTTCGTCTTCCTCTTCGGCGTCTTCTTCGCTTTCGTCTTCGTTTAGTTTTGGTTCAAACGGGTCTTTGGATCTGCAGACGCTGATGAGAAGCAGCAACGCGAGCTCCACGGAGATAGATAACTCCATTGAAGGAGCTATTGAGCATTGTAAGCAGTCGTTTACCACTAGGAAGAGCAATGTGGGTGAGAGTGAGAACTCTTCTTCAAGAACATCTGTTTCTACTTGTGGTGATATTGAAAAAGGTTGAGACTTTTTAAGGATCTGGTGACGTTCTCTGGCTCTGATTCTCATTACCAAACCGAAAAAAGGACATAGAAAGTTCAAAAAAGGGAACTTTTTTTTTTGTTATACTCTGTTTTTTCTTTTCTTTTTTTGTATTTTTAGATTCTTTTGTGTGTTTTTTTTTTCTTTTTGTAGAAGTTTGTTGAAACTGATGGTTCTTTCTTGTGTTAATGCTATAAGAATTTACTAATTTCAAGGTTCTTGGATTTAAATTTGGCTTTTGATCAGAAACTCTGCTTTCTTCTTCGTTTGTGCGATGTTAATTTGTTAATTTTTAGTTTAGAATTAGTAACAATTATGAATTAACTCGTTTTTTGTACCCTTCTTAATGTAATTATTTAATCATAGGGTATTTCAAAGATAATGACAGTTACTAAAAATAATTTTTGAAGAAAACATTTGACATAAGAAAAACTGTTTTGACTTCTTTTTGCGTTTTATGAGATACTCATTATGTTTTATATTAAGTGTTGTTTTAGATTTGTGCACACGGTTTAAGAAAATAATTCATTTTATATATTTTTTATATAAAACATAATTACCTATATATCTAACCATATCTCAACAAATAAAAAAATAAATTATAGAGTAAAATAAATAAATTTTGTATTAAAAATCGAAAACGATACTTGTAACGAGTTTTTTTTTAAAACGGCACTTAATATAAAACGAAGGAGTATTTTAGAGTATTTCCAATAGAATATATGCAAAATGAAATTCTCACAACAAAACATTCTAATTTAAAAACTAATATATTTAATAATTAAGTTTTAATTTTTAAAGCATTAAATATTATAATTTGCCACATAGGAAAAAGTTTCTAATATCTCATGGATTTTCATTTGAAATATTCTTTCTTTTTTTTCTGTTTTAATATTGGAAAAACTCTTTGAGATGTTTCCATAGAGTTGCTTTCTGTTCCGTTAATGCATTTATGACATAGTGGAAGATTTTAGGTAAACATCAACGTGCTATTACTATTTGAACCAATTTCAATTCCCTGGATGGATTCACTTGCAATTAATTCGGTTTACTAGCAATAGTAATTTCGTCTTGTTCTTGATCTATGGTGCTACCATGCATGCTAAACTCTAAGACCTTTTGCATTTATGTAACTCATCAGCTAGAGGCTAGAGCGTAGAGATCACATGTCACTAGTTTTCCTTTGGCATTTATTATGCTATTATTACTTCTCTTATAAACCATTACAAATGCGTTAAATTCTTATGGAATTATACAATTGCGTAGAATCTATTTGGTTTGACTTTGAATCCGAACTATACCACCATTCGAGTTTAAATTTAGTACAAAATATAGTCTTGACTCATGACAGACAAACAAAAAACGCACTATCAAATGCGAAATTAACAAAATTACATTTGTTAACTTATAAACCAATTATATGTACGCTCCGCTCATTAACGAGTTATAGTTCTCATCCTACAATCTTACACTATCTAATTTATGGCTTTGAATGAATCAAATAAATCATGAATGGGACCATATCTCTTGTAGTGATAAACATCAAGAAGCTCACAATCATTGAAATCTTTATACAGAAATATTTATATTAGGAATTATTATTTTAAATAAAAAGATACTTTTAAGTTATTCTTTTATGTGTGTGTGGGGGTTACATTTAAGATTTATATGAATGGTAAAGTTGGACCCCTGGAAAAATTGGCCTGTTTTTGCTTTTCTCCTTCTATCTGTACTCACTAGACCATTTAAGTATATTAAAAGAATTATAGTAATGGCCTATATTTTTCCTTTTTTTTTTATTTTCAGAGAGAGAGATATGAGAGAGAGGATCCTCACTATTGCTGTAAAGTCACTTTTCTTCAGTTCGCTTCCTCTTTTTATTTGACTCCACTGATTCTATAACTTAAACCCCAATAAGAGCATCTGCAACAAGGAATCCTTACGGGAAATCCTTAGGAAAAAAAAGGACATTCCAGATTATATAAGGATATTTCGGATTATTTTTTTAAAATAAAAAAACCTGACCAATCGTGGACGGACACGTAGGCAGTGGAGCCCATGAATAGCGTAAGGATCAATCCTTACATAAGAATTTTATTCTTAAAATCCTTAATTATTCATGGGACTCATTGGTTATAAAATTAATATTTCCCTAAGGATTCTTCCTAAGGATTCCTTGTTGCGGGTGGTCTAACATTGCTCAAAAAAAAAAACCCCAAAAACAAACTCCAGCTCAATGTCAAAATTTAATGCAATTTGTTAATGAAGTTATAACTTCTGAAATAAAGGATAAGTTGAAGTTTGAAATCCATAAGCCAGAAAGCCTTATATGATTCTTTTTGACAACCAAACTTTCTATGCTGTTAATAATAGTAAAAGGGTGATAATATAATTACATCATGAGGCTTAAACTGATATAGTGATGTATCATGAAGGTAGTCAATGATTTATTCTGAAACCTCACTATAGTTTATTCAGTTCATTGAATTCACAACATAAAATCGTGTTCCATCTCTTTCAAATTGTTATATGTTTTGGATTTTAGTTTGTTTCACATCAAAATTATATACGTTTCCTGTTTTCTATCTATAAGTATACTTCTCAATATATCTCTACTAGTGGTTTTTAAAATTCAAAACTTCAATAAAATTAATATTAATGAGAGTGTTTAACATGCATGGAAACTTCTAACATCTGATCATTAGAAACTTAAGAGAAAATACAATAGAAAAAGTGTTACCAGAATTTGCAATTTGCACAAAGAAAAAAGGCTAGGTATGAATTTTCTAACGCTAAAAAAGCTTGAATTTTCTAATATACTTCGATTTCACTCGATCATTGGAGACATTCCGGTCTGCTAATCTATTGTTTGTTTATTTGTTTCCACAACTGGTATGGTATCTGCTTTACACATTTAAGCTTTGATATTAATCCCAAAAGCTAGCTCGTCGAACTAAAGTAACATCGAGGATTAATATTAAACCCTAATTTCTCAAACCTAGCAGTGCACTGATTGACTTATATTCAAAAAGTTCATATATCCAAGTTGTATCCTCTGATGTCGCCTTCTGTAAATAGAACTGTCGCTCGACTAGTATAGGAGATAGCCAAATTTGTAAGCTATAAGGATACCTTATTAGAGGTACGGTTTTTGATCCATAGCCAAATGACCTTGCTACCATATTTGAGTTTTATAGGATGGCTTTGTTACTCAATTAATTTTGATCCTGTATAAATCCGAAGAATCTTGTTTTTCACATGTATACGAATCTCAAGATTAATGTAAGATTAAGCAATAAACTCAATGATGTGATGAAAAGGAAAAAAAAGCAACTACACCTAAACTTATTAAATTCCAAATGCTCGTAACTGAAAATGCATGGGTCTACGTTATACAACCCCAACTTCACCAAGTAGTATACATGACTTTTTTTTTGTTGTTAAATTTATTCTATTTAATTTGTGAAAAGAGAACAAAATACATACCACTCTTAGTCTCTTACTTACACTTGTAGCAACAAAAACGAAGCTTTACAGCAAAGAGATCACATATAGACATATAGTGGTATGTTTTCGATTTAATCAAATAGTATAACAGAAATCCGCGTGGAGAAAAAAAATCTCATTGAAAATCTTAAGAGTACATGGAAAGCATGATGAGTGTCAGCTGCATTAAAGTGAATAGTTTTCATTTTCCATGCATGAAAGTTAAGCCTATAATATGTCACCGAAACGATTAAAGTAGCTTGTAATTATCAAAAACACATGAACTTTAATTGCTATAACGTGCGACTAATTATTAACACCAAAATCAAAAACACTAGTACTTTAACCTAAAAACAACACTAGTAGTATTATAAAGTTCCAGCTCAAGATCAATCAGTTTCTTAAATCTAAACTGTAAAAATATACACTATATTATATTACCATAATGTCACTACACTTTTGTAACACATGTTTATAATAATTGTGCAATATAATTTGTAAGTCTTGAAAGTAAACTAAACAAAAAACAATCATTTGTAACGTAATGCTGTTACATCGTTCTAATATTATGAAACTCAACTTCATGATAATATTAATAATAAAGTACCATGCGTATCCTTGCATATCAGTAAACTGTTCCCATCGTATTAAAGTCCAAAAATCCACATGATAATCTACAACAAGAGTCAGAAGGTGAATGAGCCTTTCCACAGTTTGAGCTTTGACCCATTCAAAAGTTTCAGTTGACGACTAAATCTTGTCAGTTTTTCGTACGACTAATAATAAAAATAAATAAACTTACAAGATTCAGGAACATGTGACATGTGTAACTGTAGAAACTACATTAAATAAATCTATTGAAATAAATAAAATCTATTGAAATAAATAAAATCTATTGAAATAAATAAAATCTATTTTGGGGACAATTTAGAAAAGCTAGGACTCAAAGAATTATCCTGTGTCTCCAACTAAAATGGAAATAAAGCAAGATCACCAATTATATCTGGACATGGAACCCACTTCACTTATCACATAACTGGTTTCAACTGTTTATACACTTCTCAACTCCCTGAATAGTAAACGCTAACTACTAAAGTCCATCTTATTTGTACAAAAACTCTTCATGTTCTGCTTCTCAATCATCCATACACCTAACAAACATGAACATAGCCTTTAGCTAGATCAAGTACGAGCCACATTCTCTTGAATTGGTTAGAATTAATATGACGACGTGTAATGAGATACAAGTGCACTGGAAGCAAGTGGACAGAGAGACAATGACAAAAAGAGAGAGAGCCATTTCGTAATCACAAGCAAGTATAAATCTCCGGACCACTTAAATTGTCTGTGGATATTTGTCTTCTTCCCTAACTCGGAAACCTTTTCAGGGATTGCTCCGTTTGATACTGTGTTACATGTAGCTTTTGTCAAGAGTTCCGACCCAACACACACCTAACTAAAGAAGGAGCATTGCATATGGATTGCAATCATAAGGTTTCCATTTAATCTTGTTATCCTCCAAGCTGTATTGTGAAAGCAACCATTTGAATATCACTAAGATCTAATATGTCTGCAATAATGCATTGACAAAATTAATTGTCTGTACAAAAACATTCCTCAATAAGGGATGTATTGGGGCAAAGAAGAGACATAAGATTCAAAGTAACACGATCATTAACGTCACATCAGTTTTTTTTAATTTTCTTCCAAAATTATATATTCTTGCATCAATAAGCTATCCAAAAAGGACAGAAGATACTACGTGAATGTAGAAGTTGATTGAATATTTGCCTAACATTACAATCACGAGTAGAAGCAAACCTGGTGCTTTGTGAGCTGTTTGCAAGTAGATCAAAGAGAACATACTTTTGCTTCAAATGAAACATTACAGTTATTATCAGTGCATGGTTAGATTGTTCAAAAACCATAAAATCATTATGCAAAACCACAAGATTCATTATGCAAAACTAACAAGATCATTAACTTGCATGGCTTGAAAAAAAAAACTTGCCTGGCTTGAAAGAGAGATCATCACCAGGATACCAAGTTCAGCTCTTAAATCAAAATATATAATGTGCACTCAAATCAACCGTAACTCTGTAATGAAACGCTTTAACAAAATTTCAAAAACTATACAAATGCTCATGGAGCTATAGGGAATCAAAAACGCAAACTCCACCACGTAAACGCGTTATTTCTACAGGAAGAAAACAATTTATTTCAAGAAACCAAGAGGCATCTATAAATGGAAACGTCATCTCTCCTACAACCATTGTTGTCACCGACGAGGTCTCTTTCCTCTACGCGGGAAAGTCACAAGTAGTTTAATGGGCTTTACTCGATGCTTAACTCTAGCTGTGAATAACCGTCGTTTCCAACAAATAAAGCCCATATTTATTGTTAGCAAAAGCAACCCAGATTTATAAAGCCCATATGTATAAAACCTGTGGAAGGATTTTGTAGAAAGAAATAACTTTTAAAAAAACTCAAATATGTCTGCATTCCTTTATAAAATTGGAAAGTTGACTGTGGTGAAAAAAAGGGAAAAGAATAGACAGTAATTCAGACATTATTACCGAGTCATATTTAACAACTAGGATAAGACCTGCGCCTTGCGCAGGGTGAATATATGTAATTAAAATATAAAATTTTAATATTCACAAATTTAAAATTTACATATGATTGTTTTTGTATGTATTTGAAATTTTAGAATTTTGGAATTTTTATATAATTATCTATACGTATGATCAAAAACAACTTTAATTAGAAATGTAAATTAAATCTTAGAATTTAATGGATCTGATTTCATATATCTTTTTACTTTTCAGTGTTCGAGTGTTGGAAAATAAATGGAGTGTCACTGGGCTTGATTGGTAGAGTATAGCAAGTTCCCTAATGTTTTTAAAAAAGCAATTGGTAAAATATTTGCAATTAAAATATATAAAGTTTCTAAACTAATTTAATATAATTTATTTATTTGTCTAATAATATTAGAAAATTATATTTTTAAAAAATTATATTTTTTAAAAATAATTTTCTAAAAAATTATGTTAAATTTAAAATTATTTTTAAAAGCAATATTTTAAGTTTTTTGAATACAAATAAACAATTTAAAATTGATTATTGTCATGATTTAACATAGCCATAATGATTTAAAAAATTAAAAAAAAAATAAAAGTTAACAAATTAAAAATTAACTCAGTTTTATATCATGATTTAACAATTTAAAAATTAATTATGGTTATGAGAAGTTTACGTTCACGTGTCAATCCTATTTATCTTCCAGTTATGAGAAGTTTACGTTCACGTGTCAATCCT